CCAATCAAATTGCTTATCTCTGCTTACCCTCAGCAGAAAATGCTCATCTTCGAACTAGATCAAGGCATTGACCTAATAAATACTTACACGTTCTAGCCCAATTAGAAGGAGAGGTATTGTGTTCCAAAGTTTCGGTCAATCAAATAGATTATCGCTCGATCTGCTTACCCTGGGCAGAAAATTAATTAGAACTAAAGTTATCGTGTCCCAAAGCATCAACCAATCAAATTGCTTATCTCTGCTTACCCTAAGCAGAAAATGCTCATCTTCGAACTCCATCAGAATATTGACCTAATAAATACCTACACCAAGTTTGAACATTCTAGCCAGGGGCGTGCTGTTCGGGGCCCGTCGGTCGCGCGCCGCTGGTAGGGAGGTCTGGGGGAGTTCTCCCCCCACAAAATTTTTGAAATTTGACAACGGGAAACGCGTTTTGCAAGCACTTCTGGGAGAAATCTAGGTATCATATTTTCCAAATTTATGCTGCTATTTTGACTATAAGACATACTACTGTACTACACAAGACACTCATGACAGGTCTGCTTAATATAATGCTAATACAATGTATTTCTATCCAAATAATAAATTTTTAATCAAAGACCATTTCACCTTAAGGTGACAGACATTTGCACGTCAGCATAATATATTTTTACTAATCGTTGTGTATGTATGATTTTTCGCGTGCGCACTCTCAATTTTTTGAGGGGATTCCACGTGAAAATTAGAGCTCTCATGGGGGCCCGCTTATACGGGTGGACTTATTGTTTAATGGGGGCCTGGGAGGACACCGTCCTCCTAAACTCCCTGCCAGCACCCCCCTGATTCTATCTCAATTAGAAGGAGAGTTACTGTGTCCCAAAAAGTGTGACGGACAGAGACGGGCGAACCCATTTTAATAGTCCCCTGCTTTCTTCGAAAGGCGGGGGACAAAAATTTCTCCGGTGCTGAACTCGTGGCTGCGTCACTCGTATTTGGGGCCAGTGCATCAGATGGTCTGAACAAAATCGATTGGTACGCCCCTGGTTAACACCTTACAATATTTTTATCAGTTGATTGTGACACATTGAGCGATGAAATGGTATGGCACTTAAGGGTCCTACTGTTCTGCTCCAACTAGGCTAATGAAGACGGGCAATGTTATGAGGGAAATTTTACCAGAACTGCAGCGCCAAGGACTAGTCTTATATCGAATTTCAACTGCCAAGGGATCTAACCACGCCAATGTGTAATCGGGACCTCGATTTTTCGTTCTATCCGTAAAGACTATGCTATACGTTTTTCCTTGTCATGCCCTCTGTCCTGTACCACTGACAAGGTGAGACAACGCCAGAAAATCCCGATCGACGCAGGAATCGAACACAGGACCACCAGGTTAGCGAGCCAACGTCTGATAATGAGAATCCCTCTTATGAATACGATAGAGGCTGTTTTTAATGGGGTTTTTTTTTAATGAAATATTGAGGTCATAGAATTACAAATTATATCGCTTTTCCACATCCTTTTGCGGCAATAGTGTTATGAAGGCATTTGGGTTTATTTCTTAAAATTTGTACGACCGACTATATGAATTCGACCGAAGCTATATTTATGTTCAAAGCTGGTATGGAGCCATGAGAGAGAACAAACCCATCGATTATGAGAGGGGGAGGAGGGGACCTTGAAAGATACATGGTCTCTTTGGCGGCATACTTATTCCTTATACCCTAACGATGATCCCTATTGTTTTTTGGGGGCATGTCCGACCCACGCCCATTTCTTGTCTTTATTTTGTGTCGTCTACAAGCCGCATTTCTTAACGCATCTTGAAATTTTGCATAGGCCTACTTATTCCTTATGCCCTAAGGAACATCCCTATTGTTTGTGGTGCATATACGGGGGTAGGGGTGTGTATGGCTGAATGGTTAGCACGTGCGTGCTGTATCATGAAGTCTGTCATTGAGTCAACTGGCGTGGTTTCGATTCCCCGGTTGTGAGTGAGGAGTAGGGTCGCCTGTCCAACCTCGAGGGTTTTCTTCGGGTCCTCCCACTGCTAGAGACCCCTACGCGGAAGCGAATTATGGAAATAAAATTGATTCATATGTTAGTCCCGAAATGACCTAGTTTGTATCGGTTGCTCTCTCTCTCTCTCTCTCTCTCTCTCTCTCTGTGGTGCAGAGTCCCGCCCATTTTATTTGTGTGTGTCTATGTGTCGTCTACAGGCCGAAATTCTTAATCAATTGTATTGAAAACTTTTCATACTTATTCCTTATGCCCTAAGGATGACCTCTATTATTTTTGGTGCATTCCCGGACCCCCTGGAACATGTGTGTGTGTGTTTCGCCTACAATTCTTAACAGACCCCTTTGAAACATTGCATACCTATTCCTTATGCCCTAAGGATGATCCCTATTGTTTGCTTTGGTGAATGCCTGACCCCCAGGGACAGAGTCACGTCCATGTTTTCTTTGTGTGTCTGTGTATTGCCTACAGGTCACAATTCTTAATGGATCGTCTTGGAACTTGGCAAAATATTCCTTATAACCTAAGGACGGCAACTATTGATTTTGGTGCATGTCCCGACTCCCAGGGGCAGAGCCACGCCCAATTTTTATGTTTATCGTATACAGACCGCAATTCTGAATGGATCAGCTTGGAACTTGGCACATGTTTTTCTTATAGCCTAAGGGTTGCAACTATTGATTTTAGTGCAACTCCCGACCCCCAGGGGCAGAGCCACGCCCAATTTATGTGTTTAGCGCCCGAAGGCCACAATTCTGAATGGATTATCTTGGAACTTGGTATACTTATTCCTTATACACTAAGGACGGCAACTATTGATTTTGGTGCATGATTCCCAACCCTACCTCACCTTTGAGTGGTGCCACACCCACTTTTTGTTAATATTTTGTTTGTAAATGATATATAGGCTGCAATTATTAACAAGTATGGATCCAATTCGGAATGATCCATCATAGGGTTGTACCTATTTATATTGGTCCATCTCCAACCCCCAGGGGCAGAGCCACGCCCAATTTGTGTGGTTTTTTTTGTCTACAGGCTGGAATTCAGAATGAATGATCTTGGAACTTGGCATATTTATTCCTGTAAGGATAGCAACTATTTATTTTGTACATGTACTGACCCCCAGGGGTGTGGTACCACACCCATTTTTTGTCTGTAAATACTCTACAGGTTGCTATAATTAACAGATTTTGTTCAAATTCAGCATATTAATCATTTCGATACCAAGGTGGTACGTATTTATATTGTTCCAAATCAAACCCGAAGCTAGGGCAGAGCCACGCCCTATTTTTGTATTTATCATATACACGCTGCAATTCTCAATGGATCATCTTGGAACTTTGCATACAGGGGCGTAAATGGGGGAAAAAATAGTCGGTCGCAAAATCAGTGCAGTCGGTCGCAAAATAAGAGCAGTCGCAAAATCAATGCAGTCGGTCGCAAAATAAGAGCAGTCGGTATCAAATAATTAATAAGTGCTCACCGCACACTTCACGCTACTCATGCAAAACTTTAGTATAAAATAACCTTGTCAACTTAATGTGTTTCACTCTTATTCTGTTGTGAGTATGTAGGTCTAAGAACAAAAGTTCCCCCAGGGAGAAAAATAGTCGGTCTCAAAATAAGTGCAGTCACTGCAGTCGGTCTCAAAATTATGCATCGCCGTCTTAATGAATTAATGAGGTAAACAAATAATTCCAGAATAGATCCCAAATACTAGTCGGTTGCAAAATCAGTGCAGTCAGTCGTAAGATATGAGCAGTCGGTATCAAAATAAGTGCTCACTGCACACGTCACTCTACTCACGCAAAACTTTAGTATAAAATAACCTTGTCGACTTATCATGTTTGAAAAAAATGTTTTTCACCCCATGGCAAAAAAATAGTCGGTCTCAAAAAAAAGTGCTCACCGCAGTCGGTCTCCGACTAAATGAATTAATGGGGTGTTTTATGACCATCAGAATTCTGCAACGAGAATTTGGATCCATATTTGCCATGACATTGACTAAAATTGTCAGGCCCAGTCCCAAAAATTAAAAGCTCGGTTACACATCTCAAATTTTTTCGCGCATGCGGCGCTCGATTCCATTATAACATCATTTTTCCACTCCTCTGTTGTCTTATACTGTCTCAGCACTATCATATTCACGGTTATACTGAACTGCCTAGTTATGTTAGTAGCACCACTGGCACTGGTGTGTGGGTCGTGGGGCGTCAGACTATACAAAAGTTCTGTCAACTCTTGCAAAACAGGCGGAATTGATAGGGGCAGATCTCGAGATTTTGTCTAATTGACTCACATTTCTGGTCCTCTCGTCCACAATAATTTCTCCCAGCAATGACCTCAAATGCCAAGATATTGACTCAATTTTTCAAAATGTTCTCAGGTTGCTCAGTGTTATAGGCACAATCATATATGACAAACTTTATGTCAACTTAAATAAAACTGCTTTCCAGCGAGACAACGATCAACAACTATATAATTATACAATGCCATCTATGTTCTACTGGGACGCTTAATGTTATAGCCAGTATTTTTGTGGGGTGGGATTGTGGCTGGGGTGGCGCCCTAGATTTGGACCTCCCCCACCCCATCTAGATCCGCTACTGCACATGGCCCCTACAAAACTCGCACCTGTGGTGCTCGGTTCCTGACTGCGTCACTCGTACTAGGGGTATGGCCATTAATCGGTCGCATTTTGGCTAAACACCCCCCCCCCCAAACAAAATCGTTATGTACGCCCCTGTTTGCATACATATTTCTGATATGTTAAAAGACAGCAACTATTTATTTTGGTGCATGCCCCGACCCCCTGGGACGGTGTCACACCCATTTTTTTGTTAATATTTAGTCTCTAAATTTAGCAAAACAAACCCAACGCCTAGCCTTCTTTGCCTCTTGTCATATTACAGTAATTGCAGCTATTTCATTCTCTTCATTTTAAAAAGTACCATATCAATGAAAGCAGAAATGTGGACGTATATTGCAGCGTTAGCGATGCTCTAGTTTATTATTGTTAACACAATTTGATATTAGTAAACAAAAACATAAATATATAAATATTTTAACAAAACAATCATCTAAATATTATCTTAAAATCATCTTAATTACCCCTTCAATAGAGCACTCAAATTACCTGATAAATAAAACTATCAAATATATATTCATTTAAATATGACCTAACAACTACTTATATTCAGAATTGGAAGGAAAGGTGCAGAACCTCCTAAACCACTTGGTTCTGCTTAAAGGAAAAGTCCAACCATTTCAGATTTTTTATATTTTATTCATTATCAAAATAGTTTTCATAATGCAGAATCAAAAGTCCTCAGGGTAACTGTCATTCATTGTTTATGAACTAATCCATGTGTTTACACAATAATTGCTACTTTTTGTACTAAAAAATTGAATACCCTAAGAAAGACTTATTATGGCATGTACCCACTTTGTTTATATACATCTGTAATGGGTGAACTTCTCCTTAAAGTAAGAAATACAATCACACTTCTACTTTCTTCATAATAAAACAATAAGTTCTTTATTCGATTATTACAGATAGTTTGCCAGACAAACAAAACATACACCAATAGCACCTCAGTCGTCCATAAATGTTGTCGTGTTATGATAGCATATGCAAATAAAACTCAAAATATAATTGAAGCCTTGACAAGATTCTATAAAAATAATCATGGGTAATTGTTGTAATGTTATAATCAAAACAAAAGAACATAAGCTCAAAGTAAATCAGATGTATATAAAGAGAGCAAGGGCCATTTAAAACACTGCCAAAAAATTAATAAAAATTAATGTTGTAAAATTTATAAAATAAACTTAGACAGTAACAAAATCCCAAAATAACCATTATTATATTTTCACTAACATTTTGGGAAAAGAATACAACCATTCATTATATTTTCATTAACATTTTGGGGAAAGAAAAAAGCCATTCATTACATTTTCACTAACATCTTGGGAAAAGAAAACAAACATTCATTATATTATTTTCATCTTGCATAATTATACTGACCTCCAACTTCCAACAGAAACCATACCAAGAACAAATTAATGAAATCCCTATACAAACAAAACTGAAATTATTGTTAAATATGTCATCTAAATACAACCAATGAAGGCTATTTTAGTTTTAATTTCGGATATATCTTTTCCCTTAAATCCTATTCGTTGTGAAAAAGGGTCATATATTTGAAACCTTTTTTTTAAATATTCTTCTTCACAATTCACATACTTACTTTTAAGACAAACTTTGTTAACATTAAAAACTATTTAACTGTCTCTCACAATCTTACGATGTTTCATGATAAAATTACATTCACATACTTACTTTTAAGACAAATTTTGTTAACATTAAAAACTATTTAACTGTCTCTCACAATCTTGGGATGTTTTTTATGATAAAATTACATAAATAATAATATAACATTATATATAATAAACAATTACAAGTATAACAATAATTTATAGAGACATCAGCTCTTAATTTAGAAGTATTCCCAGGTTTGTAAAAAAATAACTTTTGATTCAATGTGATTTGATTATACGTTACATAACTTGAGATATTTATTTTCTTGGTGAATGTTATATCTCCTTTGATTGACAATTGTTAGTAGGTTTCCCCACACAACCTGAAATGAGCATTTTATTTACACCCGTCGAAATTCTAACAATTCTAAAGTGATTACATGACTTTTCAAATCACACTTATAATCTTTCAAATCACATTTATAATCTTTCAAATCACATCATAATTTTTCAAATCACATTTATAATTTTTTAAATTATGTGAGCATCATTATAACTCGAGTACTGGTTAAAATATGTATTTTATGGTAAAAAACAATTCAACAAGTAAAAATAAACATACTGGTAAATGAACTCCACATAACATGGGTTATTTAATTTTGAACATAAATGTTTAGTTTAAAAAATCCAGGCATGAATATACATCATATCATTATCTGTTGTATATTAACTTGAGAGATTAAAATCAACACTTATGTTATTCTAAATTTTAGTTATGTGTTTTGCTGATGAGGTGCCAAATGTTCGTAATCATGGTGGACAATAAGTCTTAAGGGAACTAACTCTAAGGGGTCTAGTGATGTGTAAAAAAGGATGCCATGCGGGAGAATTTGTCCTTTAAATTGAATCAAACATTTTGATTGTACATCATTTGAAATGTTCGTAAACTCTGCAAATAAATATCATCTGGAGCACCTGATATGATCACATATTCCCACAGCTTATTGTCACACTTGACAGCATTTGGTACATGTATTGACCACTGTATTTCACCGGTTGACTAATTTCACTGATAAAACTACTTGTGGTTTTACCTCATACTCAACAGATAACATAACTTACATGGACATTGTATTGATTAAGCTGTACATAAATTTATAGTTTATATGTACTACTAATTGGCAGCCAGTCTATTTTTGGCATATTTTGTTTACAAGACTTTTTTTAAAAAAAGATTATGACAATATTAATGTTTTAATTTATAAATCAATCTATAAGTGTATTATATACATCTATTTGTAGTTATAAAGTCTGTAAAATATTCCACTGTAATTTGACTGACATGTAAACAAGAACTGTGGCTATAACTGTGTGTTTTCATAACTACCGGAATCTACAGACAGAGTTTGACTCCAGATAGCAACTTTTCCATCCTTACTACATGCACCTGATAGGATATACCTATCTTCAGCACGACACATAGATCGTATTGCATCATGATGTGCTGTCAGTTTCTTCCATAATTTATGTTCTTTGGCTCTATATATATGTATTTCTCCTTGTTTGGTGCCTACCCACATCTGAAATCAATAAGAATTCATGCTAACACTCATTCTTGTAACACAATGTAAAACGTAAACAGCAGCATCTTTTTTTCCAACATTGTTTTAAAGATACATTCCCGCTACAAACTGGGTGATTTAATGGTTTTTATGGACTAAAAACATATTCAAACTAATTAATTTGTCATAATTTTGCTTCAAATCCTTCTCAAACATTGTAATTGCGAAGGAATGCCCTGCTATAAAAATTTGATCAAACCAGGTCATGTTTACGTCACGTGACTTACCTCTCTTGGAAGTCAGAGGAGAATTCATTGCATACATAAGACGATGTTGTCTTTAATCGCTTACTATTTATTACATTCTCGGATTATCCACTACCCGGGTCTTTTTCCGTCATTTTTATCACAGAAAGTGTTGTACGTCTAACTCTTCATAAAGTTTATCAACTTGAACATCAAGCGCTCAATGATCGCGTGTGACCTTTGACATCACCCGTGCAGAAATTCCTAATCGTCGGGCTGTTGATTAGGGGAACCCTTACATTTTTGTCCTGTATACGCTTCATGAGTGTTTTTCGGGGAATCCAGTATTTTTCAAGTAAGATTGGATATCTCTACTTTCCATATATACCAAAATTGCCATACTTTTATTGGAAATAACCACCTGATAAATACTTTTCTGGGAACCCATCTTTAAATCTTACAAGCACTTCAACTGAGGGCTTTTATTCATTTAATTTCTGAATTATACCTTGAGTCCATGGCATGGACTTTCCAGTAATAATGTAAAAAAATGAGATTCTATTCTATCACCGGATGCTGCTACCACTATGATATAAAAAGATATAATGCTGCTGATTTCAATTTAATCTGATTGTATAAATATTCTTGTGAATTGTTAATGTAATTGAAAAATACCAAATCGCTACAGCACAGACTGAAAGAAAACTTAAAATTCTAAAGTTTCCTCATGATTATTCTAGATTATTTGAAACCGAGACAGATTTGACATTGTGCTGAAACAACTCTCCACAAAAGTCTTAACATCATAATTACTTGACCATCTTGTCCATGCAGGTGCCAAGTTCAAACAAGCAAGAATCTTTTTAAGCTTCCCCTTTTCTTTGTTGTTAATTTGTCCTTTGATGTCAGGTATACAACTATTTATCATGACTATTACAAAGTTGGGGCTATATGTAATGGTATTTACTAGTCCGTTAAAATGGTTATTGTTTGAATAGTTATTAGTCATGCTTTCAGGGTAGCAGTGACCTGTTATACAGCTAGTAACTCACCTGCTAATTACTGTACTGTATACTTTATTAACCATTTTAAAGATATACCTAACGTTAGTAATAATGATTTGTATCATTTAGTAAAAGCCATCGGGTTATCAAGATATATTTCATATGTATGTTTTTGCTTCCTGTCTTACAAACCTTATCATTGGACAATACTAGAGTACTGATGCCTCTGGCACCCAATCGTATTGTAGTTTTCAATTCTTTACTCTCTCTATCCCATATCAGTATCATACCTTTTCGTCTTAATCCAGCCCACAGCTATAATAAACAATACAAACAGTGAGTATAAATAAAGTTATTAAAAGCTCTGGATAGATTTGAAAGTCTCATTCTCCTTAGAAGACAGTTTCTTGTTTCTTCCTCATTTAATTTTGTGGGGTGTCCATAATGCTACAATGTCAATTGTTAAACCAATTCAAAACAATGTCATTATGATAAAATGAAATTGTATGTAAGATAGTTACCAATCTGATTAAAATACAGTTCTATATTTGGTTTCATTTTTTTTATACTTTCGATGGCCTACACTACATAGCGATAGGTCATGTCAGGGGTCAAAAGACTGACTTTTGACCCTATGACATCAGAAATTTGATTAACCAATCAGCATTGATGTTACTAGTGGATTACCCACAGTAACAGATCGTCGTAACAGATCGTTTCATTGGCTTATCCCTGACACCATTCAGAACACGAGTAAAATAACAACTCTTCCAGATCCTAGTGTAGTAAAAACAAGTAAAACAAAATTTTGAACTATAAAAACGAAACGAAATAGGATCTGTGTTTTAACCAGATTGGATAGTTACATGACATGATACCGATCATTTGATTTAAAATACTGCATGTGAAGGATGAATTTTAGCGACAGAGAACAAATTACAACACAAAAAATTTAGTTCATCAATTAATATTTGCAGCATGCAAATCTAAATATTACTGCCATTCTAACAATACCAAATGTGTCATTTTAATACAATAAACATTTTCATGAAACAGTTTTCACAGTAGAATGAGATAATATTAAGGTTTATGAAGAAGATTTTTAAACTTGACCCGCTTAAATACTGACAGAGGGTAAAATAGTGATTAATAAATATATAACAGACCTCATTGGGTGTAATTTCGAAACATTCAATTTCTTGTGTTTTACTGTCTTTAATAGGAATAGATTGAAAATCTAACTTGGTTAACCAGGAACCTGTCTCATTAAATACATGTATACCTTCCCATGTACCTGTACAAAACAAATACATTAAATACGTGTATACCTTCCCATTTACCTGTACAAAACAAATACATTAAATACGTGTATACCTATCCATATACCTGTATCTGTACAAAAACATACATTAAGGTTTTCATTCTAAGATTTGAAACAAAAAAGACATAGTTTTCTTCAAGATGCTATTCAATTTAAAATTATTTTCAACGTCAGCATACTTTGTGAAAATGAAATGAAATGTGATTTAATGTACTACTTTTCTGCATCAACTGGGTTAATGAAGATGGGCATATACCATGCAGTGTGTTAAGAGGAAAACTTTGCCCGGACACAAGTGTCTACTATTATTTCGAACATGAAACATTGGTTTTTTCGTCCCCTTCGAATGACTTGACACTGCTCATTGCCAGGCCCTCCATCCTGCACCACTAACAAAAAGAAACCATGCTGGAAATTGAAGGGAATTTTGTGCATTTGTATGGGGTGTTGTATGGATTATAACGAAAAACACAAAGATTCTCACCACACCACAGTTTATCATCTGCTAGTTTTAAGGATCGTAAACAAAGTTTATCCTCCAGGTGTAGGACTTGTAATGTTTTTAATGATGGTATTTCCCACTTTATAATAACACCATCTAAACTTGCTGAAAATGCGTACCTGTTGTCAAAAAAAAGAAAGATGTAAAACATTTTACTACAGCATTATTCACTGTATGTATTACTTACTGGTTAAAAAACCTGATTTATTATAGTAGTTATGTTGAAAATATGTAATAAAATTGTTAATTTTGCTAACGCCTATATCACAAATACCTTTTACTGCCTAGTAAAGGTAATAAGGTGTTTACTACCTTTTATCATCAGTAAGGCATACAGAGCTAATTACCTTTTATCATCAGTAACATATAGATCTAACTATCTTTTATCATCAGCAATATGAAGATCTAACTACCTTTATTCATCAGTGATATATACTATTTTTTTATCATTAAAGTAACATATAGATCTTACTATCTTTTATCATCAGTAAGATCTAGGTCTTCATTATCTTTATACCTTGTATCATCAGTAAGGCCTATAGAGCTCATTACCTTGTATCATCAGTAAGGCCTATAGAGCTAATTATCTTTTATCATTAGTAAGATGTATAGAGCTAATTACCTTTTATCATCAGTAAGATATATAGAGCTAACAAGGTCTTTATGATCTGTTAATGTTTTACTGGTTGTCATAGTTTTTGTATCTATGATATATATTCCAAGAGCACCTGCCCACACCTGTTCTTCACCAACAGAAGCAAATGTTATCTACATAGTTAAATAAAAACAGATGCTTTAATACGGTGTTACATACATGTAGAATACCACTCTTGCCTTAAATAGTGCCATACTTAAAGATAGGTTCCCAGAAAAGTATTTATTGGGTGTTTATTTCCAATAAAAGTATGGCAATTTTGGTATATATGGAAAGTAGATATATCCAATCTTACTAGAAAAATACTGGATTCCTCGAAAAACACTCATGGAGCGTATACAGGACAAAAATTTAAGGGTTCCCCTAATTGAGCGCTTGATGTACAAGTTGATAAACTTTATGAAGAGTTAGACGTACAACACTTTCTGAGATAAAAATGACGGAAAAAGACGCGGGTAGTGGATAATCCGAGAATTTAATTAGGATTCGATATTTGTAATAAATAGTAAGCGATTAAAGACAACATCGTCTTATGTATGCAATGACTTCTTGAAGCATAATTATGACAAATTAATTAGTTTGAATATGTTTTTAGTCCATATATACCATTAAATCACCCAGTTTGTACGCGGGAACCCATCTTTAAAGTAGCAATGAGTCATGAACCGAAATCATCCTTTGATCATATATAAAATGTTTAATACGCATATTAATTTAGAAATTCTAACAGTTTTAGTGCTGGTAATTGAATTATTCACGAATAATACCTATTATTTAACTCTCGATAACATTGATTACTGTAAATAGACATTATTTGAGAAATGTTGTGGTTTGTAAGATACATGTAGTGTGATGAAACTCCTTGTAAAAATTCGACATGATTGGTTATAAATTAATAACAATACTGCTACTTTAAAGATGCCACACAAAGTCAATAAGTAAATATACCATCTTGGCAAAGATGTTCATGAATAGAAATGAGCAATCATTCAACATTGAATCAATATAAAGTAATTCTAACTTTAGATCATTCAACTTTAGAACTGATCAATATTTTCTGTTGGATCAATGCTTTTTGGGAAGATTGTGTATGGTCTGAAAGTCAATATTTACATTTTATTCTTGAATATTTTGTCTTTAACAATAGTCTTTATGAGTTATTTTAAGGAAAATATGAAATTTTTCAATGCTTAATCTTAATCTATCCTAATATATACTCCAACAGAGAACACTTTGACTCAATAAAGGGTTCCGGTTAGAAGTAATACATTTGGTAAACTAACAAGATACGAGTGCCTAAAATTCTAAAAATTAAAATCATGTAAAACAGTGTACATACCACGTTATTTTTGGTTGTAATATGATTTGCTTCCAATAAGAAAGTTGAGGCATCAAATATTCTGATCTTTTTGTCCCCCATACCACACCACAATCTAGGGGGAATTTCTTCTTCATCCGTATTAACTGTAACATACAAATAACCTTCAAACCAGAATAAAAAAGAAATCGTGCCGACACAATACTTTTAACTTATTTTCAGAATAACATAAGGCCCATATTTGCCACAGCTACACTGGAATTTCTGCTGTCTGGGGATCTTTTAAATTTCTATGAATCTGATTTGTGGATTAGAGAACAGAAGGCGTTTGTCTAAACCTGTTAACTACAGTGTGGTGTAGAAATGGGTTAAAGGAAAATCTGGTAATTTTTCAGTAAATACTTGTAACTGACAGGCAAAGTTCTTAAAAGCATTGCACAGATACTTAAAGGAGCTAAATCACTAATATTTTGGGTCTAGAAATTGGCACAAATGGGTCGCAGCACATATAATAATGTAATATAAATTTATATAAACTGTTTTACATTCAATTGTTTCCGTTTTACTGTGAATTGTCATCAGTTATGTTCAGCGAAATACGCCAGAAGTCTCAACCGAAAGACAGTTTCTAGCATCTGGTTATTCTAGTCAACATCGATAGTATATATTGCACATGCTCTCCAAATAAGAATATGGCATCACCGTTTGACATGACTTGTGGAATATGTCTAGCCTCATTCTTTGAACACCTTGTTACAAATGGCGCTGAAACGCATTATGGTACACGATTCGTGAACCAATGGTAAAATGTTTATTTTGTCTTTAATATTGGATATCAGAAGCCCATCTTTTCCAGGTAAGACCACAGCACCAAAGCTGATTTAAATTGCTAAAAAATTTGTGTATTCAATGTCGAAGATTTTGGATGATATTGAGTTACGGACTTAGCTACTTTAAAATAAATTAACTCTCTAACCAAAACTTCTGGATCTGCATCAAGTATTTCTTTTTATCGGTTTATTCCTCCCTCTATATCTTATGTAACCCCACGCCACTTTCAGTGTTATATTCATCAATTATACACAAAGATATACATAAAAGCATTTTGATATGATTGACGGTTTCAGACTGTTCAATACAAAAGATGTTTAATGGGTGAAATAGCCCTCCTCTATCCCCTATACTCAATAATTAGGTGTGCTAGAATTTGAAACAGCTATTTTCAGTGTGGAAGATGTAAGTTATAAGCTGCTCTCAATATTGAGGGTATATACAATATTAACCAGCTTCTCTCACTGTCACAGACACATCAGAGAGAGAGCGAGAGAGAGAGAGAGAGAGAGAGAGGGGGGTCTCCTTGTCACTTACAACCTTAACTCAATGAAAGACCCCACGATTTAAAGCGTAGGTCTTAGACCCCTTGACCTCACCCTCAAGTATATACAACGGGTTGGTTATATAATGGCTGATTCATGGAATCGCTACTTTAATAGCCTAGACATGGGAATGGATCATATAATTGTGAGTGTACAATAATTGTAGCTGTTTTTTTTACCACTTACATCCTGGAGTGTAGAGCAATGCTTCCACTGTTGTTCTTTGTCTCTCTCCCTGACAAGGATCAACTCGTTTTTGTAGAGCTGATAAAGTGTTGCTAGGTAAAATATGGCGTTCTTCAGCTACATACCGCGAATAGAAACACAGTGACTCAGCCGAATCATTGATACGATTATAATGAGCCGTCTGCTCAAATAATCCACTGTAACATGATAGAAGGACAATAAATTCAAATATTATAGAAGGAGAATATGTTAAAATATTATAGAAGTACAATCAATTAAAATATGATAGAAGGACAATAAATTAAATAATTATAGAAGGTGAATATGTTAAAATAAGATAGAAGGACAATAAATATAAGGAGAATATGTTAAAATATTATAGAAGGACAATCAAATAAAATATGATAGAAGGACAATAAATTAAATAATTATAGAAGGTGAATATGTTAAAATAAGATAGAAGGACAATAAATATAAGGAGAATATGTTAAAATATTATAGAAGGACAATCAATTAAAATATGATAGAAGGACAATAAATTAAATAATTATAGAAGGTGAATATGTTAAAATAAGATAGAAGGACAATAAATATAAGGAGAATATGTTAAAATATTATAGAAGGACAATCAATTAAAATATGATAGAAGGACAATAAATTAAATAATTATAGAAGGTGAATATGTTAAAATAAGATAGAAGGACAATAAATATAAGGAGAATATGTTAAAATATTATAGAAGGACAATCAAATAAAATATGATAGAAGGACATTTTTAAAATAGGACAATAAATCAAAATATTATGAGCTCTTTTCAAAAATGCTATTAGTACAATTATAATTAACAGTCTGGTCATTTAACCCACAATAATTTGAACCAAAATCGCAGTAAAAATTATCTAAAATGTATTAAACAAATTGGGTAAGAATATTTTGAGTTCAGATTTGAATTGGTGACAACCATAACCTGTGGATAATGGATTTTTGTTTGTAATAGTATGATCTACCTTTTTACAACGGCATCAATCAGAAGAACGTTTTGTGCAGCCTGATGTGTAACAGAATGATCTTTAGTTGCTATGGCAACACGTCTACCACACATCATTTCCTGTATGAGCAGAAACCAGCAATTACGATCTGCTTTTAACCAAATAGAAAACTTTATGCTGCCATCTGGAAAAAGAAATGGAATAACGTCCAACAAATATGGAATAACTTCTCAAAACATAGGTTGCCATGCAACAAAATATATGCCCACAGCAGCTAAGCCATCCAAATTGTTCACAAAGGGTGTCACATATTTGTTTTTTGGTAGGTAATCAGAGAATTTACAAGTCGCTAAAAACTGATCAAGAGTAACAACAGATGAAGTAATTATCAGAAATAATTAAATTTAACTTTCTTCTAGTGGATTGCTAACATTTATTATACAAAACATGAACTTGCAGTCATCTACATATTTTAGCTATTTGAGTTATCGAAAATTAAATGGTTCATTAGTTGGACTTAGTATTTGCCCACACGCTAGAATCTACATTTGATTTTATATTATTAATCTTACCTTCATTTTGTATGGTAAGAGCATCAACAGCTTTAAGGAAGGAATGAAGTTGTGTTTTTTCTAGTCTGGCTATACGATGTAGTCGGATCAATTCTTTAAATGCATTAGATCCATCTTTCAGGAAGAACAACCTGGTTTATTAATAAATGCCAATACTGAGATGTAAATAACGAGTTACTAATATTAAATTATTAATCTGAATTATAAATGTTAAGTCAGTTATAAATGCTAGTTGAGTTATATACACTAATCAAGTACCAAATACTAATTTGATTATAGATGCTGATTCAGTTACAAATAAAATTGATTTATAAATACTATGTGACTTATAGTCACATTCTAATTGCTAATTGATTTATATGTGCCTAGGAGTGGTAATGGAATTAACAATGAGTTGTTTAATAGTGCTAATTGTACGCTTATAAATGCCAATTGAGTTAGTTAGAAAAGTTAATTAAATATCATGAATGCCAATGAGTCTGATTGCATAAATTTTAAATTTTTAAACCACTAGTTAATTAGTTCTTTAAAAAAATATGTATAGAATAACTTTATTATAAAAGAAATCCTAAAGGCCAAGACCCATCAATCAAAATGTGTCCAAAAATAAAATTTTGTTCCAGTACTTTTCTATCAAATTTTAAAGTCATATTTTAGAGAATGGGACAAGAATCTCTACATTGTTAAAACAAGAACAAAACTTAAACATACATTATGCAAGAGCTAAATCTGTGAAGGGGAGGTCTTTCTTTAGGCCTGGCATGTTATCTAAATAATTAATTAGACATTAATTAACCTATCCAGACCATAATCAACTCTAGATGGCATCTTTAGTGGATTGTGAGCTGATTTGCTGCATAACTTTCCTTCACGATTTAATGATTAAATGGATAATCGAGACTATGCTGTTTATCGTACTGACTTTAGTAATGATGATTAAGGCTAGGCGGAAATTCAATCGCTTTGTTCTCGGTTCATAGTGGATCAATTTGAATGAAATTTTCAGCAAATTGCCTTCACATTATCTAGTTTTTAACTATTATAGTAAGAACAGACGACTCGTTATCGAATCTCCCATAATGTATCTTTAATAATAAGATTTGTTTCGATCATCATTGTGGTGCCTGTCAAATCATTATGTCATTAATGTGCTTTCATACCTTGTTATGGCTATAGGTAAATATGTGTATAGACATGCGTGGTTGTTATTGAGATGTACAGTTCCCCCATATGGGATGGAACTAACCTTTTATCAGTGAGACCTACACGTCCTGTACCATAATCAGTTTTAATAAGTGGTGAAATTTGAAGAATATTCTCGTCTGTACCAAGAACATCATCTGTTAAACTTGCTAGACATGTTAAACAATTCTTCTGATTCTCCATATAACATAAATCAAATACTTCATAAGTATACTGATCTACATCTATAATACAAAATATACAATAAAAAACAATAAACATACAAAAATCAAATATACAATAACTAAATATACAATAACTAAATATACAATAACTAAATATAAATATACAATAACTAAATATAAATATACAATAACTAAATATAAATATACAATAAAAATACAATGAATATTAAAAAATCCTAAAAATAGTATCTGTTGATCAAGATGGTTTTAAGCATGCAAATCACCTGGATGTGAAGAATTACCAGAATACTATGGTGTTCTTTTTTGGCCACCACCACGCCACCCTTGAAAAAATCGCCATGCAACACAAATTCATGTCGTGCATCACTTTTTTCAATGTTAAGCTATAGAGCAAAATGACCTAGACAAACTCCAACAATGGTCAAACAAATGGCTACTAAGATTCCACCCAAACAAATGCAAAGTGGTTAGAGTCACCAACAAGAAACTCAAAGAGGAACAAATGACACAAGAATACAATCTCTACAATCAAGCAGGTGATAAGGTAATACTAGAGTATTCAGATGGAGAAAAGGATATGGGGGTGCTAGTTGACAGGGCATTAAACTTCGCGTAAACATATACAGCAGCAAGTAAACAAAGCCAACAGTATAATGGGTCTGATCAGGAGAACATTTACGCACCTAGAAGAGACCAGTTTCAAATATTTATTCCAAGCTTTAGTACGCCCAAACCTAGAATATGCAGAATTAGTTTGGTCACCACACAGAAAAAAAGATATAGATTCAATTGAAAACGTACAAAGAGGGCAACAAAACTAATATACCGTCCCTCAAGAAGCTAGAATATCATGAAAGACTGAGGAAATTGAAAATGCCAACATTAAAATACAGAAGAAGAAGGGGGGATATGATAGAAGTATATAAAATAATGACAGGAATATATGACCAGGAAGTAGTAGATGATTTGCTTGTATTGAACACAAGATCCACAAATACAAGAGGGCACAACTTAAAATTAGATAAAAGGGCATGTAAAACAAACCTAAGAAAATTTAGCTTCACTAATAGAGTAATTGAGATTTGGAATCACTTACCACAAGAAGTCATAGCAGCAAAGACTGTGAAACAATTTGAGAGGAGACTAGATAAGTTTTGGGCAAACCAGGAGGTGAAGTATGACTATAATGAAGATATAAAACTAACAGGAAAATGCGCACAGGGACAAGAAAATAATGAACAAGAAGAGGTTGATATAGAGGTGGAAATGCCTGCGTCCATAGATGATCCTAAGGTATCCTAAGGTATGTAAATATTGGGTCTGTAAAAAAATTATCGCTTGATTTGCTTAATTCTATGTTACTGGTCCCAATGGTCAACAGCTTACTGAGCCTATTTCTACATAGCTAATGTAATAATAAAATTGGGTGGAAATTGTGACACAGTCACACATAACGGCAAATTGGTTTTGGTCATTTTGGTTAACAAAGTTACATAACTCATTTAAGGAATTCCAGTGTTTAGATGTACGTATAAGAGCCAGGAAAACCATATCTGTATATTTTATGAGTCATAGTGGTAATGCTTGTTGTGATTATCAAGTCACTCTTACAACTGAACCATTAAATTCCATAAATAACTAAATTTGTGCCATTCAATTTTAATGACAGATGAATTTTTTCGACTTATCAAGTTTACTGTCATTCGTCATTTTGGGCAAATATTACTGAAATGACAGTCCCAAAAAGAGGCTAAAAGTCTTACTTACAGTTGATAGTCTTGAGAGCGTCAAACAGTGTAGTAGATATATCATAATCTGTGGACATATCATGTAAAGATACGATATCTAAAAACTCATCTAAATCTGAAATAACAATCACAAATATAAATCACTGTGCTGATCTGATCTTGGGCCAGCTGAACAACCCTGTCAGCGACAGCTATGGTCAAGAAATTTTATATCTAGATTACTGGGAAGAGATATATGGTGAGAAACATTCTATATCCAGATAACTTAGAAGTGTCATGATCGGTTCTATGTCTAGATTACCTATAAGAGTGCTGGTTGGAAATTACTGTGGCCAGGTCAGTCTATATCTAGATTACTTAAAGACCTCCAGCCAGGAAAATCTCTATCATTCCAATAGTACACAGAACCGACACTTGCATGGTTAAAATGACATAAGGGGAAATATATCTAAGCTGATTGTCAAAATGGATTCAAAACGAGAAGCTACATGAACCTGTCCCTGGACAACATACGGGGTCAGATCAAATGAGGTCAACAGCAGATGGTAGCAAGTGTTCTGGAACAGATATGCATACCCTTACTCATGTTGACACCCATCCTACTTTGTAGCTTACTTACAACAGTCATGATCAGGATATTCTAGATCTTGATTATTTACACCAGTTATAATCAAGACATTTATACAAGACCAGATTAGGACATTCTATATACATAGATCACTGACACAAGTCATATCTACATAAGGTTTATTTACACAAGTTACAATCAGAACATTCAATATATCTAGATTACTTACATAAGTCATGATCAAGACATTCTATATATAGTCCAAGCTGTGATCAGGACATTCTATATATAGGTTATGATCGGGATATTCTCTCCATAGATGGTGATCAGGACATTCTATAAATAGGGTACTTACACAAGTGATCAGGAAATTGTATCTATTGGTCCTGATCGGGACATTCTATAAATAGGTTACTCACACAAGTCGTGATCAGGACATTCTTTATCTAGTTTTATAGGTAGACGTTTGACTGTTTCATCTTCGTTGAGTAATCTCTCTAACTGTTGTTTATAACCTTTCTGTTTATATAACTCTTCTTTATCTTTCTCTCCTAGTACATCTATCATACCACGAATTAAACTGAATAAAATACAAACATTACAAAAGTAATAAAGGTAATATATTATACATGGTCCATTGTAATGCTATCATCTTCTTTAATTCACTAACAACCATTTATCCATCTTCAATACTATAATTTTTCAATGCTGTATCCGTAGAAAACTGCAACCTCGTACATAAAATACATACACTGCTACTAAGATCGAGTCTGCAAGAAGCATAATATCTGAACTTAAGATTCCACAGTGTATAACAAGCTACATGTACAGAAGGTATACCAACACAGTAATACAGGACAGCATGACCTATATATATGTTAATAGATTTCTTTGTGCACTACTCACGCATCATTCGTGGGGCTGAAAGTCTGATTCCACAGAGGTTGATATCGCAGACAAGTGTTTACAGAAGCGCCAGTTGTATGACAGGATTATCTAGCGTAGGCTGCAGATAGGGGAGCGATTAAGAAAAGTTTTACCGCCTCCATTACATTGATTAAATGCACATCTGTGCCTTTTGAGATAAGTGTTCAATGTTACTGTTATGGACCATTGGGGTAAGGCATGCAGCTGCAGTCTGTCCAGCGTTGCCACGTACCCTAGCTCCTATCTAAAGAGGGGTGATTCATACTACAGTTGTACTATGGCTGGCAGTAAGGGCATCAATGTTTCATTCATGCATCAATTCCCCCCTAGTTTCATAGTACACAGCTCTATCTACAGACAGTGACATACTTCATCCAATTGACAACACCGAAGACAATGATGATACAAACTTTCAGCCAATCCTGGATCCTGGTATAAGAATTGTCATGACTTTCGAAAACCCTACATGTCACCAAATATATAGCAACATGATGACATGTGCTGATATACCAACAGTCACATAGTACACCAGATACATCTATACTCAATAACAAACAGAAACAGTACCTATAACTCACTAAATAAAATACCTACTCTTTGGGTTGTAGACTAGTGAATCCAGTCGGAAGGTTGAAAAGATCCTCCAGTGCCTGTACGTAATTGCCTGCTGCGGCACGAAACATAGCTCGTAAATAACGATAAGAACATCTGGCTGTATAATCACGACTACTCTATAAATAGAAATCACAGTAATCCTCATCAAATGGATTGATTTTTTGTTGCTATTTTCTCACAATATGTCATGTCACCATTCAATATATAATTAAATAAAACCTGTGGCATGATGTTGATCCAAAGCTTGTTTGTACCATGTGTTAGTCCCACAATTATCCCATTTCTCTCTCTTTAGTATGTTCTACTCCATTAATATCCAATATACTTTCTTTAAAGCCAATGTTCAGATCATGGAAACTTATTGATGAATTGACCAATCCGATAATCTCTATATAATGTACTGTCCAAATCCTTTGACAATCAATTCATTTCAATCTTCAAAAATTCAAATGCTGTCAAAGAGGGAGGGAAATGGAGATTGACATCCACTCAATTCAAACCGAGTCACTTAAAGACTAAAATATGGCATTTAGCTGTGAGAAGGAAATGGGAGGACCATTTCAACTTTTTTTGATAACCACAAAAAATAATAAGGCTGTAATGACAATTTACATAATGCTGGCACGTAAAAACACAATACTTTTTGAATTTATGCCTGCATTTAATATTATATATTGTTGCAGGTAAACAAACCTACTTCTATTTTCATACTTACTTCCCTTGTGCTACATACCTCAATTCTACATGAAATACTCTCGATGCATTTACGGACATACATGTTAACAGTAGTGAGACTCGGTAAATAAAACGTCTCAAATTCTTGTCTGTTGAATACAGAAAAACATGACACTGACACATGTCTATTTAACGGCTTACGAGATCTGAAATAACAAGTCAAACTTGGTTAAAAGTTCATGACGAATAATTAACAAGTTTAAAGTTCATGACGAATAATTAACAAGTTTAAAGTTCATGACAAATATAGATCCAGGTTAAAGATCATGATGAATTTTACCAGGTTAAAGTTTGCAAATAACAAATGAAATATGTTTGAACGTCTTACATTCCTGTACCAAGAAAGCTAAGACTAGGCATACACCATGCAGTTTGCTATGAGGGAAGTTTTATCCCGATAGCAGCGCTACAGCCTACAGTTTCAATTGATAGGGTATCTCTAATGTGCTGCCATTGCAAAAATCTAAATAGCCCCTACTTGTAACTTTTTCCACCACAGGGTTAAAGTTCATGTAATGTAAATTTTAGGGTATAAAATTAATGGGATCTGAAAGATGAAGAAAATAAATCTGTCATTTAACGGTAAATGACAAACACAGTTTAAGAGGTTAATCATCTCTTTTCAATTCACTTTGTTTGTAGATATTGCAATAATGGCAATATATTGAAGATTTTGATAATATTGTCCAACAATAGGAAGCAGAAGTGAAACCAACTGCTAGTTGTTACCATTGGAACCCAGTATGTAATAAACCACAAGCTAACATATGGGGAGGGGGGTGTTCTTGTGACAACTTCACATTTTTTCAGTAAATAAATCTCCAAACAAGACAGGTATTTTTTTAAAAAGCTGCTACATACTTTGTAGTGAGTTGAAATCTATCACCAGTTAAACTCATACGTTTGGCTACAGGTCGTGATTTTAATTCTAATTCTGACCAATAATCTTGTTTCTCATTCAGACGATCTTCTAAAAACGCTCGAAATATAGATGTAGGTAAGATCTATAAACATTATAAATATTCATTTCATTCAATGTAAGCAACATAAATCAAACTTATTAAACATTGTCATCCATCCTTGTTTCATGTTTGGATTTCAAACCCAAAGCATTCTAATTGAGAATTCATTGGTCAGATCGCTCGACTACCATGACCCCCAATTTCTATTCAAGTTGCAATAATAGAGAAATTGTGAGCTGTATCAAGTTGTAACAATAACAAACACAGTTCCAAGCTTCATGTTTAACCTACCTCTAAGTCAACCTAGCAATGATAACTAATCCAACTTATCCAATACACTCATAACCATTGCTTTGGGAATATTGGGTAGAGTTTAGCATGACACTTTATTTACTTTTTTGGTTAGTGTAACAAAGAGAATATTGTCTGCACAATGTTTCTGTCTGAGTTGTACAAAAAAACTAGACATAGTTAATCCCTTAAAGTAGTAATATTGTTATCAAATCCACATAACTCAAATCATGTCCAATCTTTGCATAGTGTAAAACATAATATGGCTATGTACAGCTTACTGTATCCGAAAATCTCACACATTTTCTCAATATAAGTCTTTGAAATTAGTTGGGTGTTTTATATAGAGAGAGCATATTTAGTGATTAGTAGGACTAAAGGTTCATAGATAACGGCAAGTTATTCAGACTTGCATAAACTTATTGTCCCTTTAAATTATTCCATGTGTCTTATTCCAAGTTTTAAATCCTACTCAAATTATTGATACAACAAATTATGGCAATAACTGCTCAAAAGATAAATCCAACATGCCTAAGATTCAATGCTTGCAGCAACTTCGAAATTATTTACATTATTATACCGATAATTGTGAACAAAAGTTTACCTTTTCATAAAATGGTCGACTTTCTTCAGAAACTGTTTCTAGGAAGCCAACCTTATTAAAATGTCTAACATCTATTTTCAGTTCTCCAATCACTCCCCTGTAATGTTTTAAGGGTAACAAATAACAGATTTAAATGATAAAGGTTGTCAGTCAACAAGACACATACCCAACAATATGAAAGTAAATTGTGAAGAGAAAATAAATGCCATTATTTGCATTCTGTTCTATTCTAAAGTCTTGTCAAATATTACTTCAGTGAATTTGAGACTAACATAATGGTAAGTTCTATTGCTATGGATACCTATGTAATGCTTGGGAGGAGAATTTTGCCAGGATAGTGACAATTTTGCCAACTCTCAATTGAATTCCACCAGTCATGGATTCTTTTATATGTACTCCAACATGTACATGGGTGGACATTGGCCTATTGTCCCATCTGAATAACTAGGCAACACATTACTTGTCAACTACTCCTTACCACTGATAAGTACAAACCAGGATTTAATTTACTGGTGAAAAGGATAATGAGGTAATTATTACTGAGGAAACATTTATTATTAATAGACATACCTAAATAAATTGACCATCAATTCCAAACATGCAAAACTAATTTCTCCATTAAATATCTGTATCTGTTTCATATTATGGTTCTTCTCTTCTTCAAACTTTAATGGAAACGGCCTAAAATAAACAAACATTTTTTTTTTGTAAAATAACAGGTAAAACTTAGTTGAATTGTGTCAAAATAAGTGGGTTCATCTGATGTGTCATTTCCATCAGTGATGGGGCATAAGTAAATGTTTTTTGTTAAAGATGGGTTCCTGCGTACAAACTGGGTGATTTAATGGTATATATTGACCAAAAACATATTCAAACTAATAAATTTGTCATAATTTTGCTTCAAATCCTTCTCAAACATTGTAATTGCGAAGGAATGCCCTGCTATTAAAATTCGATCAAACCAGGTCATGTTTACGTCACGTCTTGGGAGTCATACAGGGTTCCCGCGGCTTCGTCAAACATTTTTTCAAGGATATTCAAGGATAAATATACGTCAAATTCAAGGATTTTCAAGGACATTTTTTAGCCTAAAGTTACAATTTTTCATCTTAAAAATAACCAAAACATTACCAACTATCGGTATAATCTCATATTTAAAAGGAATTGAAGACATTTGAAACAAAATTAAGGATCTCAACTGAAATTCAAGGATATTTTCCTATTTCCACGAAATTCAAAGATATTCAAGACCTTGAAAATGGAATTTTAAATTTAAGGATATTCAAGGATTTTCAAGGACCGCGGGAACCCTGGTCATAGGAGAATTCATTGCATACATAAGACGATGTTGTCTTTAATCGCTTACTATTTATTACAAATATCGAATCCTAATTAATTTCTCGGATTATCCACTACCCACGTCTTTTTCCGTCATTTTTATCTCAGAAAGTATTGTACGTCTAACTCTTCATAAAGTTTATCAATTTGTACATCAAGCGCTCAATGTTCGCTTGTGACCTTTGACATCACGCATGGAAAAGTTCCTTGTCGTCGGGCTGTTGATTAGGGGAACCCTTACATTTTTGTCCTGTATACGCTCCATGAGTGTTTTTCGAGGAATCCAGTATTTTTCAAGTAAGATTGGATATCTCTACTTTCCATATATACCAAAATTGCCATACTTTTATTGGAAATAACCACCTGATAAATACTTTTCTGGGAACCCATCTTTAAATCTTACAAGCACTTCAACTGAGGGCTTTTATTCATTTAATTTCTGAATTATACCTTGAGTCCATGGCATGGATGTCTCTACTTTCCATATATACCAAAATTGCCATACTTTTATTGGAAATAACCACCCGATAAATACTTTTCTGGGAACCCATCTTTAAAAGATTAAGCAAATGTTTTTTTTACAAAAATTTTAAACAAACACTAAGGTTAGTTAGGCAACCCTACTCCTAAAAATGAAATAATTTGACTTAAAAAAAAATTTAAAAAGAGGAATCTTGTCTTGAAACATCAACCTACAGATCAGTGTTTTGAAATCATGTAGACCATTATCTACATTAATTTTTCTGTAGTTTTGATGCATTGTCAATGATCAAAGAGTGTATAAATTAAATTCAGAAATGTCAAACATTTTGGTAAAAGATAAAGAACTGACATGAAAGACATAATATAGGATGTAAGATCATACATACTACAAGACAAACAAGTTTAACTATTTTTCGTCAGTCAAAGTGTACAGCTGATTATGCATGGGCACATGTCATCATTTTGCCATGAAGATAACTTACTGTGCGTACCCAAAGCAAGCCTACGTTTTTAAACCAACCTGTTCAGACCGCCAAAATAAAGCAGCTTTTCAGAATAACCTTCTCGGAAATGCTGTTGATTTTTTAAATTGGTTTATTTGTCCCACCATTACATTTATCTTGAGCTTCTTAACAAGCTTTAAGACAACATGGTAAATTAAAGTGTTCCTACCTTGATACATCAGCCAGGTCTCTTTGGTATTTGTTACGAGTAAAATGATGTTTAAATAAATTAACAGAATGTTTGGGCATGGATGGTAGTCTTGAACAATTTGTGTCAGAAGTCAAATAAGAATCACTATTGTGGTCAGACTGGTTAATGCTGACTGTACCGTCATCTATATTTACAACAACTATATCATTGATCTGGAAACAATAAAATATGTAAATCAAAAATGTTAGAGAGAAAAGAAAGGAACTGAAAAGAAATGGGGTTTCACCTCCTACGTTTCTGCATGACAAGGTGTGGTATGTGGGAAATATTGCTTAAGACAGCTGTGTTTTTGACTTTAAAATTATATTTGTATTTCATTTCATCTTTGATTTTCTTGATACTATTATTGCATATGTGCTGGTTTGTTGTTTACAGTTGATGACATTTATACCTGCAAAACATCATAGCTGATGCATGCTAAACTCAAAATGATTTTAGCATCTTTATATCAATACTAGACTGTTAATAAAATATAAACAATCTGCAGCATCTGTTGCTCCTACTGGTACCTACAGATGTTTACTATATAGCTCCTACCTGTTTTACTACTGATAAGTGATTTCTATAGTTCCTACCTATTTTACTACCACTCTTACCTGTTTTACTAATATTGTTTTCTATAGTTCCCACCTGTTTAAATACTACAGATGTTTACTATATATATGTTTACTACTGACAAGTGTTTTCTATAGTTCCTACCTGTTTTACTATTACAGATGTTTACTATATATACCTATTACTACATAATAGATGTTTACTATTGATAATACATGTTTTACTACTACCAATGTTTTTTATGGATCCTACCTGTTTTACTACTACAGTTTTTTACTATGGATCCTACCTGTTTTACTACTGATATATTTTTACTACTGAAAGATGTTTACTATTGGCTCCTACCTGTTTTACTACCGATAGATGTTTACTATGGCAGCCCATCATAAAGGCACCAACAGCCTCCAGAAAATCTAGGGAAGAATCTGTTATTATTGGCACATAAGAATATCTCCAATTAAACGGTAAAATAAAATACAAAAAACTCTAAAAAGAAAAACAAATATTATTGTAAGAGGAGAAGGGGTCATTTTGGGATTAACATATATTATTTTTTGTGAACTGGATATCTTTTTTTAGCAGTGAGAGGACACTGAAAAATTTTGACACTTGCATCAATGGCAGACCTTATGATCTAAAGCATGCACAATAGATAACAGGGTTACCTGACTCCCTATTTAAATATGTCCAGACTTTATAGTCAGTTTGGTACTAAATTCATTCATGTCCACTATCATTAAATTCTCCTGTAAGAATTTTGGGTTGTTTTTTGTAATGGTAAAGTTTTCTAGAATAAAGGGAAATACAGATTTTTAGACATATAATATGTAGCCTTGAATTAACCAGAAAGAATACTGATCTAATATGTAAGTAATTAAAAATACATTATGCAAGAGCTAAATCTGTCTATTGCAGGTCTTTCTTTAGGCCTGAAATGTTATCTAAATTATTAATTAGACATTAATTAACCTATCAAGACCATAATCAACTCTAGATGGCATCGCTAGCCTGCGATCTTTAGTGGCTGGTGAGTTGATTTGCTGCATAACTTTCCTTCACGATTTAACGATTAAATGGATAATCAAGACTATGCTGTTTATCGTACTGACATTAGTAATGATGATCAAGGCTAGGCGGAAATTCAATTGCTTTTTTCTCGGTTCATAGTGGATAAATTTGAATGAAATTTTCAGCAAATTGCCTTTACATTATTTAGTTTTTTAACTATTATAGTGAGATCTGCCAGCTCTTTATCGAATCTCCCATAATGTATCTTTAAGTTATGGGCATTTATACTTTACAGATATAGCAATAATAATAATTTTATCTTTTTGTACAAGCCAGCCCATTCACCACAAGTTATGGGCATTTATACTTTACAGATATAGCAATAATAATAATTTTATCTTTTTGTACAAGCCAGCCCATTCACCACAAAGGTCTTTTTAACACTTGGTTGTACGCAATAACAACAGTCTTTACAGAAAATGTACATATTTTATAACTTGTGACACATGTTACTGATCTGGATTGTTGTGCTTTAAAGTAGCTATAAGTCTCTAACTCAATATTATCCAAAGTCTACCACACTGAAAACACGAATTATTTGTCAATTTAAATCAACATTGATGTTGTGATCTTACCAGGAAAAGACAGGCTTCCGATATCCAATATTTAAGACAAAATAAACATTTTACCATTGTTACACGAATCGTGTACCATAATGCATTTCAGCGCCATTTGCAACAAGGGACTTGAAAAACGAGTCTAGACATATTCCACAAGTCATGTCAAACGGTGACGGCATATTCTTATCTGGAGAGCATGCACAATAGACTGGAATAACCAGACACTGGAGATTGCCATTCGATTGGGATGTCTGACGTATTTCGCCGAACATACCTGATTTGAAATTAGAGTCAAAACGGAAACGATTGAATGTAAATGAGTTTATATACATTCAGATTAAATCTTAATCATTGCGACCCATTTGTGTCAATTTTAAGGTCCCAAATATTAGTGATGTAGCTCCTTTAAAATTTAAAAGATAAACTGTTTTATTGGCCTTATAATGAAATAGTGGCAGAAATTTGTGTAAAACGACTGTGGAATTTTACACAAATGATCTGAGAATTTTCTACAGTTGAATTATGTTAGAGACTTCAAGTAAATCTGATTCTCAGAATGTCTTAACCTGTAGCCATGAGGCCAAAACATGGCAGATTTTAGAGGATAAAATTTGTAATGCATAATATAACACAAAGAAATTCAATGTGCATTTTCATTATCCAATGGCTGACTTCTAGGGTTTTTTTGGTTTGCTTACCTCCATGACAACTGTTAATAAAGCATAGCTAGATGAAACAAAAGTTAGTTTTTCTTCTGTCAACATGGCCGTTATGATCTTCAAGACGTCCTCAACAGAGAAAATCAGGAACACAAGATGAAGTGGAACGTTTATCACAGGTTTATCAGGCCATTCTGATGGAGGTAGAGTAATAGGTAGATTGAAAAGCATAAATTCCTACAAAATACATGTCTAATTGAGAGACTATGAGGAATATATGGAAATATTAAAAGTATAATTTAATTATCAATCTTAGAATCAGATTGAAAACAAAATTTAGTTGTAGAAGGTAAGCTTAATATGTGACTTATACATCCACTAAAAAAATATCATGGCCTTAATCTTAGGAGAAAAATGATCTATAGGTGTAGAAAAGGTGAATCATTTCGTCACGTCACATATTCTTCATTCAAATTGGGGACCAAGGAAATCAGTTGGTATGAGGGCCCACAGCTATCCAGTCAGTCCCTGTTCCACTGCATGATGTCCGATAATCAATTCATAAAAGCTGAAAATTACAAGAATTTATAGAAGAATATTGATTGATATTACACTATTGGAGTTACCTTTGGAGTGTTTTATGATTAGTGTGATGTATATTATGCTATCATACTTACAATTTGAACATTTCCTGATGGTGGAACAGGTGTTAAACATAAGATATAAGTAAAATCTTTTATAAAGGAATACATTTCTTCTACATCACGTTCTATATGGTCAACCAAACTGTAACATAGAATACAATAAAATAATGACTCAACATTCAGTATACAAGCTTCTAATTATCTTTGTGAACTAATACAGCACTGTATTCCTAAAAAGACAATTGTATTCAGACAATCTCAATCAGCTAGTGAAACCAAAGTGGAAACTTGCAACTTTTTGACAGAGAGCGTTATCTGTTGCAACTATCAAAAGACAGAATTCACACCAGTTGAACTTTGTTCTGTGATTTCTTGCCAATCTTCAAATCCTGCTTAAAAATCGTACGAATTGACAAAAAATAGAGCTAAAGAACCGTATACAGTTGTGTTTTCACTGTCAGCATGCTTAGTGGATTTGATGTAACATAAATGGACACATTATTATTGGTGAAGAAGATGCAGTGTGAAACGTCTGAAGAATAATGTTGAACTACCTGTAAGAAGCATGTGCCTTGCTAATACCAACACTAACGATTTCATTTCAAACAGGCTTTAGGTCATCACTTTCTTGTTGAAAAAAAACATAACTTATTTTATGAGAGATGAGCTCTGAGCTAATGGGTATTTATATGTAGGACCTTTATATCAACTCTTCAACATAGCATGTACTTGTAATGTATGATTTTTATTGTTCATAAAGTGATATGTAAACTGTAATTAGATTTGGACTTTCAATATGCAAACCAGCAACCACCTTCTCCAGAATGCTTCTTATGTTTATTGAGCTACACCCTCCCCATTATATGTACAAAATACATATGTATCACCTAGGTATTATTCAACAAGGAATAACCTTGAATGCAATCCTGTATGATATTATTGTTGTAATTAAATCACTCTCTAAATTTTGTGGATTCTGATTGGTTGAAAAGTGGTGTCTAATGAGTATAAAGGTCCTCTAAATTTCATTCCTATGCGATCTCGACCTCCAATGATTTAAGCGGTATCAAATGAAAAATAACAGTCCTCTAAATTCTAAACAGTCATTTTTTATCTCCTAAATAATAAAAATCAACTCACCATGAAAGACATTCCTTCAAGGAATAATAATATGGATGTTTTGATATAAGAACACAGCATTGTGGTAAATAACAAACCAGATCCGATTTCTCTCCTCGATTACCTGATGTATCCAAATCAACATGAATGTTAAACTCTGTATCCTACAAAAGCAAACTAATAATAATCCAAACTAATTTAATTTTCAGTTTTTCAGGGGCCTCATAAATAAATCACATGGAAGATGTTTAGTTTAAAATTTCAAAACTTAAAAATTTGGAACTAAAAGCTTCTGAACAACGCAACTTTTAGTTTTTAAATTGTCTTTATCCCAAAGAAATAAGAAGCAAAATTTGAACAGGTGTTCCTGATGAACAGAAAATCCAACTGGTGTGGCCTTATTGATTGTCTTCATTTTAAGGTGCATTATTATAACCAAAAGTCATTTCTAAACACTTTTAAAAAAGTATAGATATTTGGTAAAAGGTGTTTTTTCAATGTTGTCTTACAAGCAGTAAATGTTCCATTTTCCTGAATGCATCTTGGATGATCATTCTCCAAAGAATTTTTTACAGTTTGGAACACACAGGAATGTTGAATCCGCTGGCTAGGTCTTTTCATAGACACAAAAGAGTTCTTCCCAAATACTTGCTCCAAAATCTGTGTCTGATGGACAAGTCACTTGCTGGAGCGGGAAAATTTAATAGGTTGTGCATTGCATATATAAAATATGTTGTCTGTGAGTGAGTGAGGTATCATGGTAATCTAGCGTTCAGGACACTGGAATGTGGATTGTATGTATGCCTTTAACTGTCACTAGGGACCGGGTATCATTCAGATTTGATGAAAAAAGGAAAGAAACTGAGCTTACCATCTATAATCTAATACACATATTCAGTTAATAGATTGCCATGCAGAAAGTGTTAAATACCATCAAGATTCATCAAAAACCGCCCAGTTTGTGCTACCGTTTAGTTTGACATCGGTTGTCTAGTTTATGAAACTAAATGGTCATAAACTGGATGACCAATATCAAAACTAAACTAAATGCTCATAAACTAGATGACCGATGTCAAAACTAAATGGTGTTTCTTAAACTAAACGGTAGCACAAACTGGGCGTTATTTGATGAATCTTGATGGTATTTAATACTTTCTGCATGGCAATCTATTAACTGAATATATGTATTAGATTACAGATGGTAAGCTCAGTTTCTTTCCTTTTTTCATCAAATCCGAATGATACCCGGTCCCTAGTGTGTATATGGAGTCAGGTTCAAATCTAGTTAAGAAATGAAAAAGTTACCTGCCAGATGATCATAGGTTTATAGAATGTGATACACGTTGCAAATGTCTTTTTTCCTGTTATATCCGTAAACACTAGAAAATGGACGACATTCTCAGGTTTTTGACGATAAGCTCTAGCATTATCTACAAATAGACAAGAAATATTATTGCGGACAGGTAGAAACAAACAGAGATAGGGGCTTGTCACATCTCCCAAATAGTATACATGTGCATCCAAAAGACACAACGTGGTGGTCAATGTTAGCTCTAAAACCAAATCTGCATAAAAACGTTTCAAAAAGTACATTGAGAACTCCTGCATCATCTTCACAAGCTTTAGAAATCAAAATGTAAACTGATGGATAAGCCCACAAAACATGTTTGAAGTTTGAAACTTATGGTATGATAACTCTGTGGAAATGTAATTCTGCAAAATCCATCTTAAATTTTACAATCCAAATTTTCTAGCTTTTTTTTTAAGTTTGTCTAATGAAGACCGTCAAATATGGGCAATAGTCTACCAATATGTATCTCATACAGACCATAGCTACATGTCATCACTTATAGACCATTGTCTACCTATCACATACAAACCATAAGCTACATATCACATACAGACCATAACCTACATGCCACATACAGGCAATACTCTACATGTCACATACAGACCATAACCTACATGTCACATACAGACCATATCCTACATGTCACATACAGACCATGGCATACATGCCACATACAGACCATAGCATACATGTCACATACAGACCATAGCTTACATATCACATACAGACCATAACTTACATGTCACATACAGACCATATCCTACATGTCACATACAGACCATGCCTACATGATACATACAGATCAGAGCCTACATGACATATACAGATCAGAGCCTACATGTCACATACATACCATAACCTACATGTCACATACAGACCATAAACTACATGCCACATACAGACCATAACCTACATGTCTTATACAGATCATATCCTACATGTCACATTCAGACCATGCCTACATGATACATACAGATCAGAGCCTACATGTCACATATATACCATAACCTACATGTCACATACAGACCATAACCTACATGTAACATACAGACCATGCCTACATGATATATACAGATCATAGCCTATGTGACATATACAGATCAGAGCCTACATGCCACATACAGACCATAACCTACATGCCACATACAGACCATAACCTACATGTCATATACAGACCATATCCTACATGTCACATTCAGACCATGCCTACATGATACATGCAGATCAGAGCCTACATGTCACATACATACCATAACCTACATGTCACAAACAGACCATAACCTACATGTCACATACATACCATAACCTACATGTCACATACAGATCATATCCTACATGCCACATACAGACCATATCCTACATTTCACATACAGACCATAGCATACATGTCACATACAGACCATAGCTTACATGTCACATACAGACCATAGCTTACATATCACATACAGACCATAACTTACATGTCACATACAGATCAGAGCCTACCTGGAAAACAGAATGTGGTAATAGAATTTAACATTTCCTCTGAGACTGGTAAATCTGGGGCTGGTAAAGGTAAAGTTCGTTTATTAGACAGACGACGTTGATGACCTAGTTGACTTGATACAGTTCTCGATACACCAGATCTTTTCTTTATTTTCGAACCTAGAAAAAAAAACCAGGAAGATGCATTTTTTATCACCTTAAAAATGATGATGATTACAGAAGACAAAAAAAACCCTCACACAAAAGCCCATATCCACCCTCTCACACTCGATGTACACTATCGTGCACAAACCATCCCAAAATATTTCATCCTTACACACCATTCCACACTCAAACTTTCTAACACACATGGAAGGGTACTAAAAACAAGTTAATGTATCTGTGTTTGTCTATAAGGATTGTGTAAGTGAATGGAGACAGTAAAAATTAGCATTCGGCCAGTAGCTAGGGCAGCTTTATGGTTGACTAAAGAGAGTGTACTGTATGTCTTCCATATTGAAGATTGTGGTTCGAATCCTGGCAGGATTTATACTGCTGCCTTATATTATACAAGCTGACACTCTATCGCATACTTAGATTACATAACATAATTATCATCTGCTTTGTTGTTAAATACTTGTCTGGCTGACCATTTCTTTGTATGTTGTTTGATGATCAAAAGGATTCCATATTTCAAAAGTACATGTATGTCTTTGAAGAACTGATTTTTGAAAATCCAAAGAATTTGTGGCATAGATGAAGCTTCCGGAGTTTACATGCATTTTGATCTTGTAATCTTTTTATCAGCTTTGAAAACAAAAATATGTCTGCTGCATTAAGGTCATAGTATTCTAAGGAGGAGCATATTTGGTTTTGTTTAGTCGTGGGGGATTGAGGTCTGTATTATAAATGTATGACATCTTTATGGTTTACTTCTTACCTAAACTCTGAGTTCAAGGTCTGTATTTTAAATATTTGACGTGTCTATGGTTTATTTCTAACTTAAACTATGTGTTTGAGGTTTGTATTTCAAATGTTTGACATCTCTACGGTTTATTTCTAACCTAAACTCTGTGTTCAAGGTCTGTATTTCAAATGTTTGACATCTTTATTGTTTATTTCTTACCTAAACTCAGAGTTTGAGGTCTGTATTTTAAATGTTTGACATCTCTCTTGTTTATTTCTTACCTAAACTCTGAGTTTGAGGTCTGTATTTTAAATGTTTGACATCTTTATTGTTAATTTCTTACCTAAGCTCTGAGTTTGAGGTCTGTATTTCAAATGTTTGACATCTTTATTGTTTATTTCTTACCTAAACTCTGAGTTTGAGGTCTGTATTTCAAATGTTTGACATCTCTCTTGTTTATTTCTTACCTAAACTCTGAGTTCGAGGTCTGTATTTCAAATGTTTGACATCTCTATTGTTTATTTCTTACCTAAACTATATGATCGAGGTCTGTATTGGAAATGTTTGACATCTGCAGAATGTAAATCGTCTGGTGCAGGAGGGTAGTGGGGATCCTCCCAGAGAGTTGGCTGGAAATAATATGCTTTATTCCCAGTAATGGCTGCCAGGACGGGTGCTTCAAAATCCTGATAATATAAATTATCAAAAATCTCTTTTGTTGTGAACTGAAAAGAAGACAATGAGGAAAATCAAAAATAACACCATTCTCTTACCTATTCATGAACCATATGTAACGTAGAGGGTACATTTAACACATCAAACTCTAGTGTAAGTATTGTAAACACTGCAGATAGCAAAGTTGGTGTTCTTTAGTTCAGATCAGATCTTGTTTGCAGATTATTTAGACATTAATTCTGTTTGAAATATATGACTTTTAACTATTATTATTATTGTCTTAACAAAACATAACCATTAAGCACTTATAGATTGAGTCAAACAGATATAATATTTTTTTTAACAGAAATGTCTTTAACAAGATTTGTAGGAACTGCATGATGCACATTCACGATAGACTTTAGATAGTTTGTTCTTAAACCTTGATCTAAAGACATTAATGGCATACTGGCTGTAGTGTATATTGTATCCTGGCACAGAAAGATAAATTAAACCTAAAATTATTGAAAATGTTTATGCCTATTCTTGAATTACAAATTGATCTTTGATGGGTAAGGTGGGGGACATCAGTATATCATGTGGATGTACAAATATGGCACTAACCTTTTCAATTTCATCGACTGGTCTTAATCCTGTATTTTCATCAATACCTAACACCAGCATTATATCAACTAGACCATTATATACTGATCCATTCTTTAATATGGCACTAGCTGATGCCATCTTTGTCAGCTATTTCTTCTCTTGTATTTTAGCACTTTTACATCCTTAAAAAGCTAACAAAAACAAATTCTAGTGCATATATTGTGTGCAATCTAAGGGTAATTCTCATTCCTATCAATGGAGTGGATCAATACAGGCCTGCTCACTGACCCTGGGGTCTGGATTTGGCCAAGAATATGTTGCCCTGTGTTTGGAGTGTACGTAATTGCTGTTTGGTCAAAATCTCGCCCCTGGACAATGTACAGCGTATTCACATCTTCATCAACCCGGTGTTAAACCCCATGTCATTTATTCATTCCTATCACTGGATGTGTTACAATTGTAACAAAAGTTAACATGATAGTCTCCAGACATACATTTTCCAACTTGGTTCCCCCTTGTCAGTGATGCAGGACAGAGAACCTCTTATAAGGACAGCTGTCTAGTCATTTGGATGGTCAAAAAAACAAAGTCCTGTATTTGCTTGCAAGTTAAACCGCCCTTGACAGTTGGAATTTGATATAAGAGTAGGCTGGTCATAGAACACAGCATTGCATATGCCCATCTTCATTAGCCAGAAAAGAAGAACGTTAAACCACTTTTTTCATTTCATTTTCACGTTGCTTGGTGACTCTGATTTCCATTTGTTTTCCTCTTTTTATTCCAAATGACATGCCCTCTTTGACTATATTGTCAGAAATAAAATAGTGTTCTGATCAGTAGCAGATCTAGAAGCTGTGAATAGGTCTAGCCTATAGTGTAAGGGGTGGTTCCAAATCAAGGGTGCCACATCATAAAATAACATCAAGCACCCGAGTAAGAACATTGATTGGTTTGTATTTTTTGAGCACATGCAAAATTGCGTTTATGTGGCGGGAACAGTGGACGGTCGGTTTGCAATGATTGACAATATCATTTTATGAATCATGATATCATAATCAATTAATCATATCACACGTACTGATGTATCTAGGCCATTTGGGTCATCATGTAGCTACGAGAACGTAACTAAAAACGCTGAGATATACTGATGTGCTTGTTTTTAGCTATGATTGGATGCCTTTAGTTCCAAGTGGCAAACTCAATTTCTTTATTAATGTATGTACCATCTTAAAAATAAGTTAATTTTATACTATTAGTACTTATTACACATACGCAGTCCAATCTACTGAAACAACATTCATTTATCAGCAAATATTGACAATAAAGTAAATCAAGCGTTGTTTTATCAAAATTTATTCGGACGTTCATAATTACGCCGTATTACTACTGCGCAGCTCTGATCAGATGGGTACTTTGATTGGCTATTGCACACGAGGCCCCGCCTTTATGTGTTCTTTATTAATGTATGTACCATCTTAAAAATAAGTTAATTTTATACTATTAGTACTTATTACACATACGCAGTCCAATCTACTGAAACAACATTCATTTATCAGCAAATATTGACAATAAAATAAATCAAGCGTTGTTTTTATCAAAATTTATTCGGACGTTCATAATTACGCCGTATTACTACTGCGCAGCTCTGATCAGATGGGTACTTTGATTGGCTATTGCACACGAGGCCCCGCCTTTATGTGTTACAGATGTAAATTTAAAATGTCGGAAAAAGCAATCTACTGTCGCTTTGATTTAAAAAGAGGGGATTTGTACCCGTTTCAGGTAGGATTATATGCTTAATTGTAGTTGGGTGTGCCAGAAATATTATAAATAACAATAATCAATCGTTGTTTTGATTAAAAATATTGTCAATTTTGTTTACAAATGCCGGGTGCGAATCGCTCCCGCGTGTGCTACCTGCACATTGAAGGTAATAGCATCATCTCTTATCTCGAAACACGGACTGACGGAGGGTTTAGAGGTAAGGTTTGTTATCTAGTCATCATGTTGATCTAGATTACGTTAAATCTTTACCGTAGGTATCAAATTCTCTGTGGCCAAATCAATATTACCAGATTCGATGGATAATCAAGTCCATTAATCTATTCCCCTCTCCTAGAGAACCTGCTTCACGCCTCACGTTAGCCACTACTTTTGCTTTCACAATAACATTAGCACGTGATTAGTGTGATGCGTCGCACAATTAATTTATGAACTAAGTTATTTTCAGAAATCTCATAAAAACTCTACGAAATCAAAAACCAAACAAGCTGGCAGTTTATGTCAAATGAAGGTGTTTTGTAATTGAATTTTGAAACGAAAACATTTTATTTAAACAGTAGAAAATCGTTTTTTGCAGTGCGTCATTGCAGTTATAAATAATAAATATGGCGGCAAAATCAAATATTTTGAGAAAGCTATTCTGTTATTGTGCAATTTTCACGTTGATTTTGTTTTCTGTTACATATTTTTACATTAGATGGCTTTTAGGTAAAGTAGGGAAATTCACCTCTTTGTATTTTGAAAAGCTATTGTACCCACTGGGTAATTATAGTTAATATAGTAAATGAAATGAAATGGGGTTTAACGTCCTACTGTACTGACACTGTTCTAATGAAGACGGGCATACGCCATACAGTGTGCTATGAGGGAAATTTTGCCCGGGCAGCGGCACTATTGCCTACTCTTATATTGAATTCCTGGGATCTTTTACGTGCATTCCAATGTATACACGGGACCTCGATTTTTTGTATCATCCGAAGGACTAGACAGCTGTCTATAGTTAATATAGTATACGTACTCATAGAGCTGTAGAGTAGCAGTAGTAGACGAGACTGCTTAGGCCTATAACTTGCAACGACGTGCAGCAAAACAAATAAAAATTCTTGAACACCACAAAATGATTTGAACAGACGTTTATTGTATATGCAGATGTTATAGAAATACAATCAGGGCCTTCTTAACTATATATCATATGTAATGTATAGACCCCCGGCCGTGGGTAATGGTCGATAAAATTAATCAATTGGTAGTGGTACGGTACATTGTAACATACATAGTCATACTCATAGATTAGCATTGGGCCCCAATGCGAAGGGGGGCTGGATTGGCTCAGTGAGTAAGAGGCTCGCTAAATGGAGGACGGAGGTACCATCGATTGGTATCTGGCTGAGAAAGTTGATCTGGATTTTCTGACGTGGTTATCCTGTTCTTTGTCAGTGGTGCAGAACACGGCCTGGCAAGGGATGATGTATATTCATTCAGATGGGTAAAAAACCTGAGGTCCCGTGGACACACATTAGCATGCACATAAAAGAACCCTTAATTGGCAGTTGGAATTCGATAGAATAGGTCAAAGCGCCACTGTCGGGTAAGATTTCCCTTATAGCACACAGATAATGCCAGTCTTCATATTTGCCCAGTTGGAACGCACAGAACAGTAGGACGTTGAACCCCATTTTATTTCATTTCCTATGCTTTATTAAGACAGCCCTTAATACAATCAGCAAAATTTGTTTGTTGTTTTATTATATATTTTTAATTTATTGATATTTGAACTGTCCCAATGTATTTTATCTAATTATCTTTACAGATCTGAATGATTGCTTCAGTGAACAAGATGCTGAATCACCATGGAGAAAATATTTTACCTGGTTTTATCAAAGGGAGAAAACTTCTACAAACTGTGATATTTGGAGCCTGGAGACTCACACACAAACCATTCAAACCAGTCTAATTGACATGATGAAAAACATTTTTCAAGAATTAACAAGTCGGGAAATATTTCTCTTTTATCTTTTTGGGTCTTTGTTGATTTCAGTTGTAGTTTTTGTTTTGATTTTTATAAAATGGCATCGCAGTTCAAAAGTTGAACTGCTTCAAAACCTTGTTCCATATGGAAACAATTCTATGCACAGTCCACATCCAATAAATGATGGACATAATAACAGTAAGCCTTTTGATTACAAAAAATTTTCTATTAATTTGTTAATTCTTGTTGGCATTGTTAGTATGCCGTGGGAATTTGTACGATTATATCAACGTGAAGTTGCCAAGAGAGCATCTCGTGCTGCACAGGTAGGACTGTATTATAATATGAATAGTTTTAACAACACTAAAGTCATTGAATGTTGTTCAATTTCTTTGATAATACTAATTTGAATATTAGTTGATAATACTAATTAATTTAAATTTCAAAATATTTTGCACAAGCGACAAACAACTGATCTGATTCAATTAATTTTATTTGACATTGAAAATCAAATATCAAAAAATACATTCAAATAGCCCTGAAAAACTATTTGAATGCAAGTATACAAATATTTGTGCAGCACCAAATATTAAACTGAATTAAACACTTAGAGGAAAACTCACCCATGCCACATATTTTGTTAATGGAATAACCCAGAAAATGGAAACCTCAGTTTATGAATTTTCCAAATTTGAATGTTCATAAATATATTTTGTCTTTTCAGGGAGCGCCCCATGAATGTACTACAGGATCAGTATCACTGGTTCAAACGTTGAAATCATTTTTACAATGGCAGTTTTCGTGGTCTAATACTAACCACTGTGAGAATTATTATTACGTATTGTTAGTAGATCCATTGTGGGAACTTAGTCCACTTTTAGTAAGTATATTTACTGCTCTAAGTAAATTTAACTCTGTGATGGACATGCACAGATGATGGGGCATGTACATGTATATTCTGACTACCTTACATACATGAAAATGCTTGAAAATTAATTTGTAGTGCACGTTAAAGATCCTGTGGCAGTTGAAAACCGTCGCACTGCACATGCCACTTGAGCAATAAAATTATTGTTTGTTACTCTGAAAATGGCCCATCAAGATGTTAAGCCTCATTCCCTTCTTTCTGACACATTCTCCTATTTTATTTTACACGCACACCTAATTGTGATTAATTGTTTTTTCCCTGGTTTTATCTTTCATACTGTCTATCTGGATATTTTTTTACCCTTTTGGATGCAGTTTAGAATGAATAATTTTCTTGGTAGAATAAATGTATTATATCCTCCTTGATAGTTCATTTGCATTTACAGGAAGTTTTTTCATGTCACATGCGAGCTATTAAAGTAAGTTTATCTCCTCCAATATAAAGGTCTGATTTCAGGAATAAAATATGCTCCTTCTTACATCTTGTATTCCAATAAATTCCAGGTTGTTTCATCAGCTGTGACAAGATGTGTGATCCATCCAATGGAATTACTTTTCTCAGGACTGGGAAGGAGCTTTAGGGCATTCTTCGCAGAGATTCCTATACAATGGCAGCCTTTGTTACTAGTTATATTAACTATGATTCTGTTGGTCGTTATCCTCATGACATGTAGTTACCGCCTTCATATTCCGTTACTATTTAAAATTGAGCCCAAGACTCCTGTTTACGTTCAAGACATAAAGCATAGCAACATCAATCAAAATAGCTCTTACATGCAAATGTTAGACACTCCAACCAATCAGAGTAGCTCTTACATAAGGAGTGGTTATTCTGAGAATTCGAAGAAGATTCAAAATGGTGAGTTATTTTCTAATGCTAAATATATCCAGGATGAAATTATTATTGACGATTCTCCGCCGCAGGTTTCAGTTAAACAAACATATGCGGAAAAGAAAAAATTGTTTTATGATGATACTCCATCACCAATTTACAATAGTTCATTACTGAGAAGAGATAAGGTTTCTAAGAGAAAAGATATTCCAAAAAAGGCAACAAAGACAACAAGGAGTCGGAAAACCCGGAAATATGAAGAAGATCCCAATTACAGTGATGAGTATTGAAATTGTGAACTGTTCAACAGTTTTGATGGATGTTGTTTCGCACCTTTCTTAAGATATATTTCTATAAATCTAAGGAGTTAAGGACCTGCTTGTGGTGAGTCCAGAATGATTGAAATTGAATTAACTGTAATTGAGTGACATGGAATTGAGATTTGTCTGCCCTTGCAATTAAAGTGGTGCTAGTAGAGTTGCGCTGTAATCCTAAACAGACAACTTATATCGGTGGTGATGATATTATCATGTTCAGATGGCACATCAGGAAGTGACAATTACATTTATTCGGCAGAAAAAAAAACCCTATTTATTTTGTTTCGTTATGGAGCAGCACTAATTTATTTTTGAGTGGATCAATGCACAAACATTTTGGGTTATACTCCACAGACCTTCAAAGACTCTTCCTTAGTCTGATTGGTGCAGAAAAGTAGAATGTTAAACCCTGTTTCATTTTTTTTCACTTCCATCATAGACCTGCCATAAAAATACCATTTGCCCATACTTGTAACTAAAAGTAGGGGAGGGGGTGTCTCTCCACCCTCTTCCCCTCTCCCCCAAAATGACCCCTAATAGTTTTTAAAAGATGCTTTAGAACATCATAGAAATTCATTATTTATGAATTTTAGATGTTTAAAAGAATATCAATTATCTCTTTTATTTATTTGTTATGTTTCTCAAATATTTTAGTGTCTTGTTTTCATTACCTCAGTTCGCTCAGAAAAGTAGCTTATTTCCATGTCATTCACAATAAATAGAAATGAAATGGGGGTTTATATAACAGTTATTGTGAGTGACATAGAAATTAACTTTTATAATGCCTTCGCCCCTGTCCATCCACAAACCTTGTGGACACTCTACAGGTCACAATTTTTATCTGATTATGATGAAACTTGAAATATAGGTCTATCTCCCAAAGATCTTGGTTCCTTTTGATATTGGCATGTATCGGACCATAACTTCATGGATTATGGCCCCTGATTGTATGAAAAATCACGATTTTCATCTGATTTTGATGAAACTTGATATGCATGTTTATAACCCAAAGATATTGGTTTTTTTCGATATTCGCGCATATCGGATTGTAACTTCCTAAATTATGGCCCTTGATTGTACGAAAAATCGTGTTTTTAGCTTGTGGTCCCTCTAGAGGTCACATTTTTTATCTGATTTTATAAACCGTTGAAATATATCACCGTAGGTTGAGTTCAAATTTTGAGGAAATCAGATCAAAACTGCTGGACATAATGGATTCTGTAAAAATATGGTATAACAAAGTTGTGGACCCTCTAAAGGTCACAGTTTTCATCCAATTTTGATGAAACTTGATAACCCAAATATCATGGTTATTTTTGATATTTGCGCATATACTAT